ATATATATATATATATTCATTATAATGTAGGTCTTCTACATGCGGTGATACAAATTTGCAAGAGGGTAATGGGTCATCAAGTGAAGATGGGGATGATATGCTCCTATGAAGACGGTGACATATTTGTATGGATAGTATAGCCTTGTTGATATGTTGTTATCTCCGGCATCTTATGGTCCATGTGCCATTTAATACTGCTCATTTTTTAAGCTTTCATGTCCAATATATTGCACCCTAACATTTGACAATGCATCAAATTAACTTTTTTAGTCTTTTTTTGTAAGATGTTGAAACTAAATGGTGTTATTAGTGCAGAATGGAGACTGCTGCTAAAGAGCTGGCTACATCGACCCATGTCCAAGGAGACTACATGCCCATCGCTAGGGAGAAGCATGTGGTTAGTCTTGCCAAGGTGACAGAGGAGATGAAGCCTGTGGAGGGGATACTGAGGCTGTGCAGCCTGGAGAGTCTGAGGGGGTTGGAGGTGAATCGGACGGGGTTTAATGTTATTTGAACGATGTGTTTAATGTGTTGTCATTTGAACACTGGGTTGTCATTTGAACAATGTGTTTAATGTTATTTAATTGTGACATTGGTTGGAAAATGAAGAGTCTTAATCTGTGTGTGTTCTTTTTACTCCATATTTCAAGGAATTTGGGAATCTGCATTAGCTTTCTGGGTATCTTGGCTCTTCTCTTGGTACTTTGGGGAAACTTTGAACGCTGAAAATTTCACCATCTGTTTGATGTTTATGAGACATATATGGCTTTACAACAGTGAGCTAGTGGCTCAAAGTTTTTGTCGTAGTTCTGTTTTATCGTGCTACTCTCTGTTAGTTAACAGTAGTAGTGTTGTTGCGTTGACTGTATAACTGAAGAGGGTTGTAATTGTGGTAAAAGAATTCAATGATGTTTCTTCCTAATGTTTGCTTGTTCCCAGAATGCGCAACTAGTTTTATTATAAATCGAGTGTTTATCTTAATGTTTGCTTGTTAAACCATCAAGTGTCACTTGGTTTGCAAATATCTACTAATCTGAATTCATCAATATTCAATTTCTGAACAAGTTACATCCAAGCTTAAACTAAGCACAAATCATAATACAAACTGACCACAAACCAAGATAAAATTGAGTGCACATTCAAAGAAAGAAAAAAGAAAATGACAAAGAAAGAGATATATTGTAAGCTCATCCACTCAATGACCCAAATTATGCAAGTTTATCCTCACGTAGTCGACGGCGAGATCGCGGAGGGCTAAAGGCGGAGGAGGAGGTCGACGACGAGATCGCAGAGGAGGAGGGCTGAACTCGGATGACGATAGTCGACGGCGAGATCGCGGAGGAGGGATGAACTCGGATGACGATAGTCGACAGTGAGATCGCGGAGGAGGGTTGAAGGTGGAGGAGGAGGTCGACGGCGAGATTGCGGAGGAGAGCTGAACTCGAATGACGATAGTCGACGGTGAGATCGCGGAGGAGGAGGTCGACGGCGAGATCGCGGAGGAAGAGGTCGACGGCGAGATCGCGGAGGAGGGCTGAAGGCGGAGGAGGAGGTCGACGGCAAGATCGCGGAGGAGGATCTGAAGGCGGAGGAGGGAGGGTTTCGGAGGGGGAAGAGGGGATTCCTCGATTTGGGGATTCTTCAATTTGAGAGCTGGGTTGTTGGGTTAGGGTGACGAGACAGAGGGGTTTTATTACCCATCAATGGCATTTTTTCAAAAAAGCCCAAAGCAGCATCAATGCGTATGAGAAACGCACTATATATATATAATATTAATATATGGACATATACAACACACACACACTATATATATATAGAGAGAGAAGAATGATGGAGAATACTTGGTAGCCAAAATTCTTTCATTGAATCTGGTAGTGAAGCGTGGCCAAATTAGCCTCCTACATCCACGCCTCGAAGATGGAGCCTATTTTTAAGTAGGTGAGGCTCCTCTCCTTCGAGCCGTGATGTAGGGTGGGGATTTGGCCACTCTCACACAAGTTCAACTGGAGAAACTTGGTACCGAAGTTTTCTCCATATTTCCTCATATACTATATCATATAATATATATACTATATATATATATATATTATTAAATAATTATTATATATATATATATGTGTGTGTGTGTGTGTGTGTGTGTGTGTGTGTGATCTTCTTCTATAGAGTCCGAAAAGGAGTATAAGAATAGATATTGAGAAGACAATAATAGGAAAGAAATCAATGAAGAGTTGACACTTTTTTGCATAGGATTACATTCCATTCTTCATTTTTGCCTTATTATTTAATTATTCGTTAAGCTTTATTGCATTTCAGGTATGCAGCAGGACCTATAGATGGTGATAATGATACACAAGGAAAAGCACAGATCCATGTGGAAGATTATGTTTATTATTCATCTCTGAAGTTCCTCTTTAATTAATTAATTTATTTACTACTTATTTATGTGATAATGTAGGGAAAATAGATTATGGTCTATATAAATGTCATTTACTAGTAATTCAAAAAACCCAACTAAAAAGATGATTTTCCCAACAATAATCCAAATTGCAATATTGAAATATACATAGTGAAACAATATAAATATCAAACCTGCTTGGGCTATAAGAGATATGAATTAACAGCCTTTCATCAATTTCATCATTGTACCAAGGTGCAGCTCGTGCGACTGCTCTAACTGTCTGCAATGAAGAACATTTACTGTTGTATCCAATATACTGATTCACTATCGTGCTATCTATAAGAAGTGTTATACTGACAAGAAAAGTTAACTACATATATACTTTCTCAATGACTGAAAGCATTTAATTGCTGGCGGATATCATTAACAATATAAATCAAAGTACCCATAATTAATAATAGGAGAAAATGGCTTGATCATAGGAGACCGATAGAAGGTTTGCCACTAGCTATAGAACAATTTAAACTAGAGAAAAGTAAAAAAGCATTTATGTAAGGCTGCAATTATTTAAATAATTAAATTTATAACCATTAATCGCATTGTAGTTGAAAACAGGGAAGTGCAAACCCCAGCAAAGATTCAGTAGCAAATTTATTGTAATTTCCTAAATAGCACAGTTAAAACTCATCGTCGCACATTTGTTACTTGCAAACTATTCACCAAAATAAATGACAAAAAAAATAGCCATAGAGTAAACTACAAATAAAAATGGTCTTTCCACATATAAAGATCCTAAAAGATAATATTTTTCTTCAACCCATCAACAAATTAAATACCTGAGATATGATTGAAGGCGAAGTAGCCTTAAACGAAGACTCTGGTGCCCACAAATAAACACCAATCACATGCATGCCACCCATCAGCATTCTCGAAACCTGAAAACAAAAGAAAAAAATCACTCCAAATTCTTCAACCAGATCACATATTTCTCAAATTAATCCTCTTTTTACTTGTCTAGCGTGCTCAGCGACCCAATCGCTGTCAATTTCGATCGAAGGCGGCGACTCATTCGAAGATTTCCCGCCTCTGGTTCCCTTCTTCTTCTCCTCTCTGGTAGCAGGTTCAGATTTGAGAGCGCAAGCGGGAGATCCACCGTCGGTGAGAGGAGTTGGGATCAGATCGTACACAAAACCTCGATCAGAATTAGGGCTTAGCTTGCCGATGATAATGCCAACCTGTTGACGAGTAATTGAGAAAAGATTGTAGAGAGAAATCTAAAGACTTGAGAGATTTGGATTGAGAATTTGAGAGAGGGAGTACTTGAGAGGGGACTGAGGATTGAAATAGGCGATTTTCTAGGGATTTGAGCTGCGATTCTTCGCCGACTACTGATTTCACCATTGTCGATTTTTTTGGGGGGAGAGAGAGTCGGGGTCGAGCGCTTGAGCGCTGCGCCGCTGCGTTATTATTGTTTTCTTAACGGGTCGGGTTTGGGTTGAAATGGATAGGCTAATTGGCACTCATAGTTTACCCTACCTTGTATACCCTCACTTGCTGCACCCGGATACTCTAAAGTTTCTAAAAATTGTACGTTGATACTTTATGTTATATGCTAACATAAAAATATTGATCCTAATTTTTTTATATGACACTATTATACTAATTTTGGAATTTTTTGGTTATTCTTAATGTTCGTTGAATTTATTATTAAAATTATCCTATTTCTGCTTTAAACATATAATCTAATTATATTTTAATATAGAGTTATAGTGGTTTAACAGTAATTTCAAAAAAATATTG